AATTCCAAACCCAAACCCAAACCCAAACCCCAAACCCAAACCCAACCGCCAAACCCAACCCAATGTGAGTGGCGAAGTAGGAATAAGCAAGAAAGAGAGCAGTATATTGTAAAAATGTATAATTTGCCAAGATGAGCTTAAGAATGATAAAGTTTTAAAGATTCCTAAAACAATAAAACATAGATAAAGTGATTTATCTAATTAATTCCTCAAAGAAGAGTAAGTTAGAATACTATTGTATTTTTTAAAGAATAACAATATTAAGAATTTAAGAAGGAAGGGAGTTATATCATATTTCTATAAAACTAGAGGCAAAGTACTTTAAAATAGCTAATCCTTGTTTTTCCTAAAATAAAAGCTCAGAAATAAATTTATTTTACTGAGGTGAGGCTGATCATTTTAAAATCTGTATATTATATTTTAATAATAATTTCTGATATCAGCTATAATATTGTTGTTATCAATATTGTGGATATATTATAACTAATATCGAATACTAATAATATTTAAACATAAAATCAATTTTATGTAATTCTTTGTTGAATTATTTTAAAATTAATTAATTCAGTCTATTTTTTGATATCGCTGATTTCTATATTCTATTTTCTCTTAATAAATCTAATAATTTATTTTGCATTCAATAAAATAAGTAAAAGTTTTTATAATAACAATATATTCAAAAATCATATTACAAATTTTGTTAGACTAATAATGAAAAATAAAACAACAAAAACAATTTTTTTGTTTTTCACCTATTCTTCAATTTTCTTCTACATAAAATTAAAATATGTTTTTTTCATTTGATATATACTTTATATTTCCAATGAATATTAGTAGAACATAACAAGAGTATTGATATAGCCATTAGCAGATAGAAAGATTTTTGGTTCTTCTTAGCTCATTTATATTACAATATTTCCTAAAGTATTAAAGAATATTTTGAATTGAAAATATATTATTTTTATAATCAAATAATGACAAACAAACAAACTCTAAAAGATCAACTTCCAAAAATAAAATGTATCGAGCATGAAAGATAAATTGTTTAAATAGGATTAGATTAAAATTTATTGCCATCTTAAAGAGCCTTATGTGAAGTTTGTGGCTAAAAGGCAATTATGGTACCAATATCAATAGACAGAGCGATAGTTATGATAAGAATGATATAAAATGATGAGGATATTGTATAAGATTAAGCTATGGTAAGTATGATTGATCAATGCTTAAATGGCGGAGATAGAGCATTAACTGTGAAAGACATAATAACTATAGGAACAGTTCTCTCAAATAAATTCATAAAGATAGGGGATAATTTTGTATTAAGATCAAAATATATTGCAAATAAAGATAGAACCTAACTTGATACATCGGAATCATTCTAGAATAAGAGAAAACTAAATCAAAAAATAACATTAACTAATCGGAAATTAGTCCATAGTTATAAAAGAGAGTACAAAATACGAAGCAAAGACAGGAATTGAATGGATTAAAAATATCATAGAAACAGAACATAGCCAAAGTAGCTTTATCTCCTCTAGTTTTAGTCCTATTATAAAAGTATGGTCAGGAGGAAAGTTTAAAGAGTTGAAACATGAAAATTAATTTGTTCGTTGTGTTACTTTATTTGACGAAGAACTAATAGTATGTTATGCAGATTCAAGCATAAGAATTTGGAAGTAAAAAGATGGATCAGAATGGACTGTAGATTAAACACTTAAGGAATAACATCAGGGAGAAATTTGGTCAGTGATTACTCATTTTGAGACTTTTGTTACTGGAAGTTATGATAAAAGTCTAAAGGTTTTTAGTAAAAGAAGAAATAATCGATTACACTAAAATTATAAATGCATCTAAAAGGTTGATATAAATGATTGTTAAGTTACTTGCATGGCTATTCATGATGATATTTTAGGGATTGGAAGTAGATCGGGATCGCTTGCTATATGCCAATTCACTGATGTTTGGAATCTAACCTAAATATTGTCAAAACACACAGCAGCCATTTAATGTGTTGCTTTCAAAGCAGATTAAAAATTATTAGCAACTGGATCAGATGATAAATCAATATTATTGTGGGAGATGAAAAATGGGGATTAATTCGAATTAATATAAGAGATAAAGGATCACTAAAGCTATGTGTTTAGTCTGGCATTTCATCCTACATATGCTGCCTTTTTATCTGGAGGATTGGATAACAAGATGATGCTATTTGGTTTAGATTCAAAAGGTAGATGGATAAAATTTTAAGAATTGAATAAAGACAATCCGATTACTGTAATCTAATTTCTCAAAGATAATTGGAAGTTTTACATAGGCACTAGTGTTGGTACAATTATTTTACACGAAATTGAATAACAACAGCAATGAAATCTTTCATTTCAGACATTTACTCTTGATCTAAGATTGATATTTCATATCATAAATTGCATTTTTAATATATTATTCTTGTTTTTTATTTTATAAATAGACTTAAGAAAACAAATTTCTTAGATTTTTTTCAGCTAATTTGTTTCAGTTAATCCAACTAAATTTAATCATGGAATGTATTCCTAATCTGTGAACAATTCAGGGGTAAATGGATGAGATAAAACTCTCTAAAAGTAATTATGGGCTTTTAAAAATATTTTCTAATAATTTATTAATCTCAAATTGAAATAACATAATGGATAGTTAATAAGATTCAAGGCTTGCGTCAGAATAAGGGTCACCAAAATTAAAACTAACAGCAAATCAAAGAGTATAGATAATTAAAGAATTTTTTGCTTCAAAAGGTAAATATCCAGTTTTTTCCAATAACCTAATTGACGAAGCTATAGGTCTGAATTTTCTATCATATGATAAGAAAGATAAAATTTTAAGAGATCCAAACAAATTATCTATATTTTAAATAGAGCTAAATATGAATTCTCCTCGTACTAAAGAAGCTTTATAATTAATGGAAGTCTAAGATGATTGGTGTCATGTGATGTCATTCTTCGATTTTTAAAGTGAGTTTGAACATCCAATAAAGTGTTTGGTAGATTATATGGAGTATTTATAAGGAAAATCACGAAAGCTGTTGCAAATAGTTTCTTTAAGAAACAGACTAAAAAAAATAAGTAAAAATAATACAGGAAACAATAATGTCAACACCAATTGTACAATAACTTAATAAGCATCCTCTATTTTTGTAACTGATCAAAGAAATTCATAAGTTCTATCCAAATCATTCAATACACGAAGTTTAGATTTTTTACAATAATCATTTGATGATAAATTAGAGTAAATCACTAAAAGAAATACTCAATATCTCAATACACTTAAAAAACATTAGCAGTTAGATGAGGAATAGAATTAAAAGTTGCAACAATATTACTAAGCCACAATCCCTAGTATTGCTAGGAAAGTAGAGAAAGTAAAAGAATTACATAGATTGTAATATTATTATTTCTATTTTAGAGAGTAGAATTAACGAAAGCAATCGTAGAAATAAAGACATAAGAAAACTTTAGAGAAAATAGAAAAATTGGAAAAGGAAGATAAAGAACATAGACAATAATTTTAAGAATAAATAAAGCACAAATTTGAGTAATCTGAACTCAATAGAAACTAATTAAACTAGTCTTATTAGCAAGAAATGTAAGAAAATATTGAAAGAAACAAAAAGAGACAAGAGGAGAGAGATGCTAAAAGACAAAGAGCAAGAGAATTAGAAGAATAAGAAGTTGAAGAAATAATTGAAAGAAATTAAGAGAAAACATAAATGGCGGAGAATTGTTTAAAAAAAATAAGAAATATTATGAAATTAAAAAAAATAGAATAACAAAAGAAGATAGAAATCGCTAATAAAAAAGTTGTTGAAAAACAGCAAGAAAAAGATTAATAGAGGCTATAATATTTTATTTAGATCGCCGATTAAAGTAATAAAATGGTAGAATCCCAAATGTAATTGAGAACAAAACGCTTGAATGAGTTAAAACTAAAATTTGAAAAGTAATAGTAAATAGTTTTGAAGAACAAAAAGAAGATTTTAAGTGAGTTTAATTCTAAAATTGAAGAAATACGATCATAAGAGGAATGTACTATTATAATTTAAATATAATTTAGAAAAGCAAGAAGATTTAATTAATGAAAACAGAACTTTAACTATGCTTTCTGCAGATAGGATTAGAGAAATTGATGAAAGGGAGAAGCTTAGAATGTAGAGAACAACCAGAATTAATTAAGAACACGAAGTACATATTTCTGATATCTTAATTTAAGTAATAGTAAGAGAAATGGTTGTAAAAGATTATTATCGAAAAGTAAAAAATGAAAAAGTTAAAATCATAATAAGAGATGTTCAAGGATGCTATTATCAAATAACATTTAGAGTTAAGAAACACGGTAGATAAGTTGATGAAATGAGAACATACTGTTATGATGATCTTCTTATGCATTTTTATTAACAGAGATATAAATCTTAAAAAATATGCTCTTCTGTTAGAATTATCATAAGGGTTGATATAAAAATGTAAAAATGCAAAATAGTTCATTATTTTTTCAGTTTTTATTGGAAATTTTAGCAATTTCTAGTAAAATTATGCAATGTATCACTCATTTTTTGCCTAATTTATTGCATTTTTAACTCTAATGAAAGGATTTAGTAATCATCAAATATCTTATTAATGATAATCTAATTAATCTCTTCTATCGATTAAATCGTCATTAATTTGTATTTGACGTCCCTAATTTGATATTGATATTACAATTAATAAAGTCATCTTATTATATAATCTCTAAGGCTATGGACTCATCAACATCTACTTTTATAAATTTCTTAAAATATCTAAATAGTTTGAATGACTACAATTCCATGATTTCTTTGTCACTATAAAATTTGTCAGGGATAGTATAAGAAGTTTTGTGAAATACAGGTTATTTTTTTTGCTTTGGTATTTGTATTCTCTTTGGCATTCTTACTTGTCTAATCAAGAGGCATAAATCGTTATTCATAAATTAACGATAAAATAAATAGAGTTCTTAACAATAATATAATTTAAATTTCATGAATAGAAACTTGAAATTGGGTAACAATATTAAATTTAGTGTAGGTGAAATCGAGAATCTATCAAAAATAAAATTAGCTCGTTTTTCAGAGACCGCCACTAGATTCTTCACATATGTCGATGACACAAATTAGATATACATTAATAAGATAGAAAATTCAAAAAATTTCTTAGATGTTAAATTATTCAACCCATTCCATTAGTACTTTGTTTAAAGTCAGAATGAAATCTCAAGTATCATCTTTAGCAGTTCTGAAAATGAAATCATAAATGGATCAAGCAAAGGAATTATTACATTTGTCGATATATCAACTTAAAAGAGTATAAATAATTCCTATAAACTTAGTTTAATCAAATATTAAAGGTCATTTATCATCTATAACTGCCTTAGCAATATTTCCAAATCAAGAAAATATGGTGTTTAGTGGAGCAATGGATAGTTAAGTAAAACTTTGGGATTCTAGATCTAAAACAGCTGGATTCACATTAAGAGCGCACACCTTATCAATTAGCACATTAGCTGTTTCTCCTGATGGTAAATTATTAGCATCCGGTTCGAATGATGGAAGCGTTAAAATTTGGGATATTCATTAATAGAAATTGATGGCCACCTTTAATGAATCCGATTCATCCATAACATGTTTATAATTCAATCCTCTTGATAAAGCAATAGCTACAGCTTCAGACGATGGATGCATAAGATATTGGGATTTAGATAAATATAATTAAGTAACAATTTTGATTCTATTGTTCAGATATCCTCAACCAAGCCAGATAAATAGACAGTTTATTCGATTAGATTTTGTAATGAAGGCAAATCCTTAATATCAGCATAAAATTTTTCTTTTAAATGTTGGGATTTAGAAAGAGATGCTTTGTTACTAGATAATGTTGAAAGTCAATGCAAGAGCATATTGGATACATATATATTTGAGGACAGAGAATTATTTGGACTATCAACTCAGAATTAGACAGGTTTAAGTGTATTTGGATCAAAATTATCAAATATAAATTTTGATAGTAGATTCAGTATGGATAGAAACAAATAGAGAATACATAGTGAAAGAATATAAGGTACAGAGATAAATGATCAATTTCAATAGAGAAATAGTGTCAATATTTTGAAGCCGAAAAATTCTTAAAAAATATTTCAAAATAATTTGAATCAAAAAGCTTCCAATTAGAATCTTATTGAAGAATAAGGATATTAAATATGTAATAATAATGGAAATAAGTTTGTACCTACTACGTAAATTCCCTAAATGATTGCTTATGAAAGTGTAATTTAAGAGGAAGACGTTAAAGAAAACTAATAAAGTGTGCTAGATTTAGTTACAAGTTAAGACGAAGTTAATTTATCAAGCTTCGTTATTGATGATGAGAACAAATTGAAATTTATTTAAATAGATATGATTAACGAAATATAGAAGGATCACAATAGAGTTATGTAAATATTAAAATAAAGGATAAATTACATGAAGCCTATAATGTATTGGTGGAGCAATAACAACATAAAATCGGCCATCAATGCAATTAATCAATTAGTTGAACCATCAATATTATTTGATGCCTTGACAATGTGTTCACAAAGTTCAAGGTTTAAATCTATACCAATTGAGTAAATGCCTTAAATGTTAGAGAAGTGTAAAGTTCTAATAGATTCAAAATACTTATCTCATATAAAGGGAGGCATTGTGTTCTCATATAAGGCATTCAATATTTATAGAGATGTATAGAATTGATATTTAGAAATAGGATATTATAACAATAAAATGTTTCAATTAGATGTCGAAAGTGGATTTAAGTAGAGAGGAAAGAGTTGCTAAATATGACAAAATAGTGGAATAATTAAAGTAAATAATTTAAATGTCAAAATTAACAAAATTGATAGAAAGAAACAAGGAAGAAATTAGTGATTTAGCTAAAAAATTTTAAATAGAAATGTTAGGCTTGTTAAAAAGAATTAATTAATAATAATGATTATGATTTTTTTCTATTTATTATTTTTCAGAAAAACTTTGTTTCTGCTGCTTTTTCGACAAATAAATCTCTAAAAAACTTAAATTGAATAAATACCCTTCCCCTCCAAAATATGGATAAGCACATGTAACAAGAATAATGTTGTATAATAAGTAAACAATTAGAGGAATTGCTGTGCTTTCTTCAACAACAGTGGCTAACATATCTCCTTATACACAGGATTAATAAATGTTTCCTCTTTTTGATAATTTGTCATCAACTTGAAATAGCAATTGATAATATACCTTCATTGTAATAGCGACTTTACTTCATTGCAGTGCCATTAATAATGGAATAGCACATCAGAAATAGTATTATTACTGTGTGGCCTAAGAGAAATCCTGGAGAGCCTCTTTTGCCAAAGAAATATGCAAAAATAAATAATAGTATTGTGTCAGTAATTGTAATGATGAAGACCCAAATGATTGCCAGTAAATGCTTACTATCAAAATATCTATTTAATGTGATAGTGTTTCTCTTTGCTATTTCTGCTGCAATACCACTTTCATAAATGTTTAGATCAAATATTCTGGATATTGATATTACAGAGCCAACTGTCATACCCTTTATAAGGAATGCCAATCCAATTCCGAATAGAATTCCAAAAATACCGTTAAAATCAATCAATGGATTATTATCAACTTTAAATAGATAGAGTGCTCCTCCAAGGAAGGTTAATGCTAATAAAATGGCTGAGCCAGCATTTGTGACTTTTAAGTAGATCATGTAATTTCTAGAAGCCCATGCCATTTTGGTAAATCTCTCAGAAACAACTTAGGTAACATGAGATGCTACACATAATTTGGCTCCATCTTATGAGAGTGCTCCAACATAATAAAGAGGAGTGATTATCAAAACATTGATTAAGAATCCAGCAGCTGCTGCTAAGATCCCTGCATAACCACCTAAGGCATGTGCAGCTGTTGCTATTATTCCTAAGGTTAATACAATTATGATTTATCCAGAAGCACTAAGAAATGTAGCGTAATTAAAAGATTGTGTTAATATTCTCTCAGATGATGATAATGCCTCTTAATAAATATATATATGATACCAAATTTCTAACTGGTTGACATCCATGAGAAGTCATCCATTCTCCAATTGATAATAATACCAAATTGCTTAATTGACCTAAAATACAACAATAGGTGATCTTTCTAATTGTAATGTCTTCCTTTGCTAAAGTTTCAGGCGCTTCAATTCCTTTTAATGAAAATTGTTTTAGAATTGTAACCATAGGCATAAAAAAGAAGATTAATATTGTCATTAAATGAGTAATCAACACTTATTGTCTGATGTTCAATTTAGTGAATCTCACTACCTCATTATCCCAAATCATGCTTTTCATTGTTTATACTATCACTGCACAAAAGACATTCACACAGAAGTATAATGTTGGAGCTAACAATGATTTCCAAGTAATGTTTTCTTTTGCTACTTCTTCTGAATTAGAGAATATTACAAATCCTCCAACTGTTAAAACTGCTATACATATAGCTGAGTCCAACAAATTTACTACTTATGTGCTAATTATGTTGGAAATCACATATAATAATTTCGTAGGTGATGAAATATAGGGATTATTGAAACTTAGATTTCTATCGCATTTTACCAAACCATCAATGGCGTTAAAAATACTTCTCCCCAAAATACTTGTTGATTCTCTATATATAAATGCACAAACTATTATTCCCAAAGCATATCCGCAACAGCATATGCCCATCAACTGCAATTTATCTTATGGCTTATTGTCGTTACTTAATCCTTACAAACTCCTAAACAAGAAGAATAATATTAAGAAAATGAAATAAATAGATGCTATACACATTAGAACTACGCCAAAGCCTACAGTGTACATGAAATCGTATAGCTCCCATTTATTTTGAATTGCAGTTGTTATCACTTTGCATATTGATCTACCTGCAAATGTGTAGGCTGTCCATGCAATTATTGTTATTGATGCAAATCCAAAAAATAAGCCTACTACGAATCCTGCTTTAGTTCCAACAGGAATGAACCAGATCTACATATAAATTTTCATATTCATACAGTTGATAACAGAAACAATATCAAAAGGATTAGAGCGTATATCAATTACGTAAAGAACATTCCTATTATTGTATTTGATATCTGAATACATCCATCAGCCAATTC